GTGTGTTGGAATTCCAGCATAATATGCTGGAAGTTCATACACATGTACACCAATCTCCAGTATATTATGCTGAAACTTTGTGTGTTGCAGCAAAATAGTGACTATTTATCAATGACTTTACAAACGCTGGCTGTTTTTCAATTATCAGTACGAAAATTGGCTAGCCCGTACTATTTTCACCCAAAATTGCAGAGAACACCTAAGTGGGTGAGATGTTTAACGAAAAAATGGACAAAGATCAAGTTTAGCCCGAGACTCTATATATATAATTTTTTATTTTTTTTTTCATCTGAGCCTTAGTGAATAAAGTTACTCAACACTAGTACCCGATAAAATAATTTAAGTACACCACATACTGACTGTTATAATAAAAAAATGCTGGGCATGAAAGCCATGCCCCAGGCTCTACATGAGGCCTCTTTTCAGCGTCAGATTAAAGATATTGACATGGCCTTGCAAGCATGCTGGGCCGTTCTTAGCATACTTCTAAATAGAATTCCCTTGACTAGACCTAAAATGCCCAATGAGACGACAACAATTAAGCAAATAACAACTGCTGCTCCAAAATGGCCTTAGCAAAAAATTCTACCTTGTGTAATTTTAAACTATTTCCACCTTCTCATCATGCCCTATCAGAGATCAAACCTACAAATACAATTACATCATCACCGGCTATGGTACACAGAATACAGCGCAAGCCAACACAAGTGAGTGGCAGGCAGGAGGGCTGCTCCAAGAATTTCTGGAAGAGTTGTCAATTCATACCAAATAAGTTTTCACAAAAAAATTATTTCCTTCAATCTGAAAGTGGAAGACTGCATAATACTACACATTTCCTCCTCAAGAAACTAGACCTCATGGAACAAACAATGTTTTTGGATCTCAGGTTTATCAGCATAGATTGAGTGACATTGGCTCAGTGAACAATCTAATAAACACAAACTAGGCAAGTCTTTAGCACATTGCCTACAGTTTTTCCTTGCAACTCTTCAAATGAGGAACACACACTTGATGCAAAGGAAGTATCATTATTCACCAGAATACGCTGCCGAATTTTAATGTGGACAAAACCACTGGGTAAGCGAGTGAGTCTCATTGTAGATACTACCCAGACAAGTATATGACTACACTCGTCCATCCAATAATTCAGTCCACGTCTATCCTAACCAAGAAGTCAGGCTAAGAACTTAAACAATCAATTAAAACAACCAAACTTTACACATCTTTCTCACAAGAATACTGCAAAGAGCTATCGAGTTCAAAATAACAACATTAATACAGTACAGATCATATGTTAGGCTAAAGCACAAATCTATACAACTATACCATTTGCAGTACGGACACAAACAATGCAAGGATGACATCTCTTCCCACAAAGCAGGTCCATGATCAAAAGGAGCTTTTATGTAATGCAGTAACCTGTTTATCACTAAGCCCAACCTCCTAACTTCTCGATCTCGTCATTTCATGCTCTATCATGATATGTATCTATATTCATAAAACTATACAAGTGCATGTTTGATTTCCTTTATTTAATAACTATTCAGAATAAGCCAAAACAATTTGCTCCAAAAGCAAGATCATCGTCTTGCTTAGGTAGTCTGCCCCTTTATGTTCCAAGCTAATGATAGGTAAATAAGTGTTTCTCTCACATGACATCCCCTTAAATGCATCTGTTTTTCTTGCCTAGGCCAAGCTATGAATACAAAAACATACCGAATGTAGTCCCATAAGTGGGGTCTGGGGAGGCCAAGCTATGAATAGTTACCAATTTTACAAGTAGCAAAACGACAATATGCTTGGATGATACAGCCACACTACACGTTAAACTGAAGATTATATCCACTGAATCAGACATATCCTTTCTGTTAAGAAGCAAAAACAAAATCCGAGTTTAACTATTCAAGCCACAAAAGCTTTAAACAGTTTATCACAGTTGTAATTCATAAGTTGTTATCCCTCAAAATTGATCCAAGATAACATATTCCTTACCCAAAAAATTAATCGCCTCAATCCAAATAAAAATGTACTTCATACAGGAAAGAGTTCCTTCGTAGAAAAGATCTTTAAATTGCTAAAAGTGGATGTCCAAGTAACATAAGCACACAACTTCAACGATGAGACTCGGTCTACCTACCAAAAGAAAATGTTCAGAGAATGAACAAAAAATGCAGCAAAACCTTCCACAGGCATAAACAACTACCAACATGATAATTCAGAACATAACCCCCAATACTCTACAGTCTGTTAAGCTAGCCCATTGAATTGATCCAGCTAGTACAATTTCAACCATACCAAGAGATTTTAAATTCAAAATTGCAACAACAACCCAATAAAATCCCACAAGTGGGGTCTAGAAAGGGTAGTGTGTACGCAAACCTTACCCCCGCCCCAGAATAGAGAGGTTGTTTCTGATAGACCCTCGGCTCAAGTAAACGAAAAGAGACAATAGAACAGTAACAGCAACAAAAACCAAAAAAATAATATCAGCATCGTAAGAGCCAGAAAATAGATGGAAACGCAATAACAATAACCAGTAAATATGGCCGATACTATGAAAAACGAAAAAATAGTGTGAACACAACATCAACCACTAGCAGTCTAAGACAAACACTATCAGACTAGCCTCACACCCGGTATGAAGTAGAAAAACGCTCAACCACCACCTAACCTTCAATCCTAATGCTCGACCTTCACAAGAGAGAATACCAAATTTAATTAAAAGCACTATATTAAGTTATCCTATTTTAAATCAATTCAATCATATTAAAGCAAAATAAAAAAATATTAGGAAGAGTTTTAAGAAATAGGATGATCTTAGCTATCATGAATGGAAGTCCCAGGAGATGAAGTTTTCACCATCTGCCTTAATAAACATATGCAAAAACATAGAGCAAAAGATATTCAATGGCAGTCAACACATTCTTAACAAACAAGACCTTGTAGAAGGCGCTAAAGTCTGCTAAGGTTTTAAGCACAAAGAATACTAAAACAATAAAACATGAGATTTGGTGAAGAAAGGTGCAAACAAGGAAAAAGATAAATAAACATCATCTAAATCAAGTTTAAGACCTATTTAATTACTTTGATTTGCAAAATGCAGTTCTAAGTTTCTATCAGATTTAATAACTGCCTTTTTTTAAACTAAATTCCTAGTATCCCCTTCATATTTACAAACATATTCACTCATAATGAATACTTGGGAATTAATTAATTGCTTTGACCACTATATTTATTGTTTAGTACCTACCTCTTCAAGAGGGAGCCCATGGGCATGAAGCGCGCGCTTAAGCGCCTGCATTAAAGCACAACCTAACTGAGGTGAAGTGCACAGTCAGATGCAACTTACCATCATAGCTTAAGTGTGTGTTAAGGGAGCCCTTAACAACGCTGCTGGGAAGTATAACTACTTAACTAATTAAACACAAAATAATATTATGAAATGATAAAGCATATCTCACATTTGAGTCAAATAAGGGATGAGATGCTTGTTGCAACTTCCGCCTTACCATAATCAATACTTTGGAGTACTTCAACCAATTTAGACATGAAAATTTTCACCTTAATTGAGATGGATGCATGTAAGTATAGTGAGCAAATAGTCCATGTAATGAGACTAAGCAGTGCATTTCATTTGACCTTTTCATCCAACAATAGTGTCAGCTGAAGCCTTAGCACATTTTTATCTTAGAAGAACTTCAACCAAACATAGACATCCTAGCCAACATGGCCATTCTCATGCCTCTTCAAAACCAGAAGTACTTGAAACTTCAAGTTAGGGTCAATTAACTCTAAAAATGACATAAAAGCAGCCCTTGCAACATCAATAGGAGTTCCAACTCTTTGCCTAGATCTTCTCCATACATGAAAACTAATAAAAGAGCAAGCAGAATCAGAGACACATAGCTTATCCCTTGTGCGTTGGTACCCACCACTTGAATGCCCCCGCTCACCCACCAAACAGACGACTCTACTTTAAGCCCGGGCATTCAAGCAACAATCTTAGTGTAGGTTATAAGTATGATAATGTAGGAATAACTTAAAAAGTGAAGAACGAAAGATCATTCCTTTTCATATCGAAGATGGTGTCTTTCGTAGAGAATCATATGTTTTCATAGGTTCTCTACTATTTGGTATACCGTCCGTATACAAGAAATCTTCCTATCATCAGTAAAATTATTTTACACCATCCAAGAAAAAAAAAAGAGTGAAGAAAGCAAAATCAATTCATAGGAGCATCACATCTCAAGTAACATGTAGCTAGAATTCGTAACTATAACACTAGGTAATAAGTGACAGCTTCTAAAGCGAGACCCCTAATAAGTGGATCCAGCATTTACTTTTAAGGGTTTGGGATGTCACTGAAACCACTGACCATTTGAGTTACTGGTTTGAAATCTAATATATGGACATATTTAGTAGATTTCTAACATATACTGGGTCAAAGCCAAAGCTACTCCATTCGGCTGAAACCCGTGTCTTATACGGTACATCTGCCCCTGACTAGTAGGATGATCCTTTTTTTGTAGTTTTCTTGCCTAATATTAGACCACCACACGTATGATCATGTGCATACTAAAATAGCTGCCTGTTATCCTACAAATTGCACACAAGCAGGTATTTTTATCAATAATGCATTCTAAACTAAGCTCTTAACCACTAAATATGATGCAATCCAAAACATGATCTTAAACATAATATAAAAGCAAGGAGACACAAATTCCATAAAAGATGTAAATTCAAAAGAATGTCAATTGTCCCTGCAAGAAAACATCATAGTTGCTGCACTGATCGTCCAAATTTTGCATTAAACTGATGAAAACAAGTAAAGGCCCAATTTCTCCAAGTCATATAGTTAACATTTATTTTCGGCATTATCAACCAAAAAAAACTATCCACAGAGGAAATCCTGTTCCCCTTCACATCCTTCTTTCGAAAACCTAATTTAGAAAACCCCAAAAAGGGGCCAGCTTTAACAATCATACCAACACGGATATAGATCACTCAGCATCGACAGATTCAAGCTGGAGTCGTTTGAGGGCTTCTTGATGGGCCCAAGTTTCGAGGGTGAGATCGGGTTTGGCGTTGAGGCCCACACCGAGGATGACGATAGTGAGAAAGCTGGTGACGTAGCAAGGGAGTTCCCAATCCTCCCATTTCCTTGACTGACCAGGTGGAGGTGGTGGGCGGTTGAAGAGGTAGCCGTTGGGCCGTTCTTGGTGGCCCGGAGTAGTGAACGGGTTCGGGCCGTGTCCTCCTCTTGTTCGGAGGCCCGAACTGATACGGGCACGGAGCATGCCTGCGGCTGTCGCGAAGGGTTTCGCGGACGGCATTTTGTTACGAAGAACAGAGAGAGAGTGAATAGAGTTTGAATTGATTAGGGGGTTTTCTATTGCACAGTATTCGTTTTCTAAGGATTGCTCGAAGAAACGGCTTTAACGGCGTCGTTCTCTAATCCAGTGTGGCTCTTTGTATCAAGTTAATAACGAGTACACGTGGAGACTCCTTATTTAGCAGGAAAAAACACACGTAAAAATAACATGGGGCTAGATAGTTTTTGGACTGATAATTAAAAGATAATCAGATTTTATAAAGTCATTAAAAATAGCTAATATTTTGCTGCAACACGGAAAGTTACAGCATAATATATTTGAGATTGATGCACTTGTATATCAACTTCCAGCATATTATGCTGGAACTCCAGCACACGAAAAGTTCTGGTATAATATACTGGAGATTGAAACACTTGTGTATGAACTTCCCGCATATTATGCTGCAACTCCAGTATATTATGTTAGAAATATTTTTTGGATTTTGAATAGTGTTTTCGTTCAGATTTATCTTTACATGAAAAGTGACTAAATTTCAGTTACTTTTGAAATTGTGGCTATTTTTTAATTTTTTTTTGGTAACTATATATTTATATTTCCACGAACAAAAAATTTATAGCCATCAAAGAATACCCAAAGAACAGCAGCTTGGACATTTAGCCCCAAGCTTACTGAAACTCAACGCTACAAAACTACTTTATTTCTCTATACTGCCTCTTATGGATAGAAATTTAGTGACTGCATACATTTATCTAGTTTACGAAGTCTACGTGCTCACATGTAATTCTCTTATCACTTGATCCGTAGTTCTTCTTTGAGACTTGAAGACCCTTGCATTTCTTTCTTGCCACAGATGGTATACTCCCCCAGCTAGTGTCATTCGATACAATTCCTGTTTAGCATTTTTTCCTTTTGCATTTTCCAGTGCCCATGTTACTTCATGCTGCCAATTACTCACCTCCCTCTAAATTTCTTGCCAGAGTAATAGCTTGGATCACACTTGTTTGGCATATTCACATTCAAACAGTATGTGATCGATATCTTCGTTCTCTTTTGAGCACAGAACACATTCCATGTCCTCAATATTTGCCCTGCATGCAATCCTCTCCTTTGTTTGTAATCTCTCGTGAAATGCTAAGAATAGAATGAATGGTCATTTAGGTAATCCTGCATTATTGCATACCAATCTTCTCCATGGGATTTTCTGGAATCTCCACGACAAAGTCCATATACTTTCTTTATTGAGTATTTGCTCATTGTTGCCACATCTGCCTCAGTCAGTCCTATCTGTTCAAACATTGTCTTTGCTTTGAGATTTTCTGCACAATCCATGAAGCTTGAGTAGTCTTGGTTTTCCATACAGTACATCTCTTTGTATAGTAGGCATGAATCCATTTAACCCATAAGCAATCTTTCTTTTTGCATATATTCCATGATAATTTCCCAATAGCTGCCCAATTTTACACATATATGTCTAGGACATTCAAGCCACCTGCAGTTCTAGGAAGACATAATCTATCCCACGTAATAAGTGCTTTTTTGTAAGCTCACTTTCACATGTCCATAGAAAGTTCCTGCAAGTTGATTCCACCTGTTGAGCTACCTTTTTGGGTAGAATAAAAACTTACGACCAGAATATTTGAATAGAGAAGAGCACAGATTTTACAAACTGTAATTTTCCTGCATATGATAGATATCTAGTAATCCATGATTTGATCCTGACCAGCATTTTATCAAGGAGAGGTTTACATTGCACAATTGACAGCCTTTTAGTACTTAGGGAGATTCTTAAGTATTTAAAAGGCATTTCTCCCTTATTGAATTGAATAGCATGTAGAATACTATGTTGAACTTCCTATTGCACCCCTTCAAAATACACTGAGCTTTTATCTACATTAGCAACCAAACATGACACCTGTGAGAAATGTTGAAAGTATTGGACCAGTAAGTTGACTGATTTCAGCTCTCCTTTGCAAAATAGTAGAAGATCATCAGCAAACCCAAGCTGTACAATTTGCAGTTTCTTACACCTTGGATGGAATTTGAAGCTCGGTTCCTCACTGAGCCCCTTTAAACTACGGCTAAAGTATTCCATAACAAGCACACATAAAAAAATGGAAGAGAGGATCCCCTTGTCTCAAATCTTTTCTTGCTGGAAATGGAACCACTGGCTCACCATTTAGAAGGATTGAGTATGAGACAGTTGTAATGCAGCACATGATCTATTTGACAAACATTGTTGGGAATTGGAGGTAATTTAGGATTTGCTCAATGTATGGCCCTTCCATTGAGTCATAGACTTTCCTCATGTCAATTTTCAACATACATCTACGAGTGATGCCCTTTCTTTCATACCCCTTCACCAGTTCATGGCTCAATATGATATTATTAGTGATTAGCCTTCCTGGAATAAAAGCAGATTAGCTTTTATCCACAAGACTGTCCAAAACACCCTGCATTCTTTAACGAGGATTTTGGAGATCAATTTATACAACATAGTGCAGCGAGCTGATCAGCAGCACTGCCTAGTAGCTTCCTATAAAAGTTGGTCACCTTATCTACTGTGTCTTCTGGTTGTTGGAGGATATCACCTTTGGCATTAATAAGACTTTTGATCCAGTTTTGGGCTTGCCTATTTTTTAGACTAGCAAAAAAATAGGCAGTGTTAGCATCTCCTAATTCCAACCATTTGGTTCTTGATTTCTGTTTAAGTATACTCTCTTCCACAAGGCTCCATTTCTCTAATTCAAGCTTCAATTCCTTTTCTTCTGCAAACAACACATTTGGGTGAGTGTGGCTTCCTATTTGTGTTTGAATATCATGTAGCTTCTGTCGATATAGCCCAATCTTCTCCTCTACATTCATGAATTCTCTTTGGTTTAACTGCTTCAAATCTTTCTTCAACACTTTGAGCTTCCACCATATGTCTTCCATGTGGTTTTTACCAGTTGGCCTACACCATGCATTAGCCACCACACTTAGAAAATCTTTGTGCTCCGCTAAACAGTTTAGAAATCTTCATAGTTTCCTTGAGTTGAATACTTAATGGTGTATGATCAGAAATCTCAGGATTTAATTTCACCACCTCTGTAACAGCAACTGTTAGCAACCAGTCAGCATTCATTAGGGCCCTATCTATACTGCTACAAATTTACCCATTTTACCATGTATATCTTCTACGCGCTGTACGTAATTTAGCCATGCCACTTGATTGCAAGAAATCACTAAAATCTCTTAATCTCATTTTCCTGAGCTGGATTACCAAATTGTATATAATCCATATCAGTAATTGCATAAAAATCTCCAATAGCTAACCATGGGCCTTGAACAGAGTTGTTGACACTTCTCAATTCCTCCCATAGGTCCTTCCTTGTTTCAACAGTATGTATTCCATATACTACTGATATAGTAATTTTTATTTACAACTGAGGGATACTAATTATACCATGGATGGCTTGAGTACTCATGCCAGTTGATTCAAATTCCACTCTATTTGGGTCCCAAAATAATCCATATTCTCCCTTTAGAGCTATGTGAGTAGTTTGCACACCATCTCCAATTTGTTGTAATCTTGTTGATCACTCTACTTGCATTCTCCTCCTTGACTCTATTCTCCAGTATTGCTATCAATCCTACATCATTATTTGTAATAATCTTCTTTACTTCTTTTTGCTTGTATACTTTATTTACACCCCTCACATTTCAATCTATGATTTTTATTTATTTAGTTGCTTGAGTTTTGGGTCCCCAGTATCACCTTGGTAGTTGCATTGTCCCTTCTCCATAGTAGAATTGTCCACTGATACACCAGCTATTTCAGTACTGAGTGGGCTAAATCCATTCACTACATTAATGCCTGTTGTTTCTCTTATTTTGGATTGTCCACTTTTTGCTGCAGATTTTCTTTTTGCTTGTTCCCATTCTGTTGTTTTATTATCCTCACAAACTGCTCTTATATTTTGTACCATGCTATTAGTCTGTTCTTTTGCAGTTGTTTCCATCTTGTCTAGCTCTGTTCTTCTTCTCCATTCCATCCTTGGTTTTTGTTGCTTCTGTTTGGCTTCAGGTATGATATGTGCTGGTCTACAAATATGGCCAACTTGAAGACAAGTGTGGTAGTAGTCATGTATCCAATCGTATGCAATCTATTGCTCAAAAACTTTGCCCGTCGGATCCATGACTTTTATAACTCTAGGCATATCCTTTGTAACATCCATCTCTACTAGCAGCCTTACATAAGAAATCCTCTCTACTTTAGTCATGCATACATCTACATATATTGGGATTCATAAACTACTCCCAATCCTACTAAGTGAATCCATACTCTAGCAGTTTAGTGACTATTTTTCAATTAACACTTGTAAATATGGTTATTTTTAAATTCCGCTCGTAAACTTGTGATATAAGTGATTTGTTTGATTGTTAGCTACGATATTATAATGTAGAAATTATTTATGCAATGAATAATGTTCAAGAAATTAGGAAAACATAAGAAACGTTATGTAGTGATTAATAATTAAGACATTAGTCGAGATTACTTATATTAAGTGCAGTTTAATTTGTGTATTACTAATACAAGTAACATGACAGTTTTGATTTTATTACTAATACACATATTTTTATTTCACATTATACCTAGCATAATATAACGTATAGATTCCCCATTAACTTAACGTGAGTATTATTTAATAACACCAACCAAAGCTACATAAGACTACGGGGGGATTACTTTTTCTTATGCGGCCAATCAAACACTAAAGGGATTGACAGATATAACGGTGGGATATTTCATAATATCCCATGGGTGGGATATCCCAATGAATTACTTATCCCTCCTACTATATGGAATAATTAATCCCACTATTTTAGTATAAAAATTATTCCGGAATTAGCTAATACCCCAATCTAAATATAAAACAAAATTAATTTTAAATTTTATCCCGAGATTATTATCCTTATTCTATGTACAAAACGACACCTAAGTAAATTATGTAGGGATTATT